CTGACAGGATTCCCCCCATTTTATATGAATCTATATAAAATATATATAGGTACCAAACAAGTTCTATTTTGAAGTCTGTGAGAGGGAAATCACAAATATAGTGTCGTCAAAATACATGGCCTAATGAGAGATTGAGCTTGGGAGACTGAATTTTCTCTCTCAAAATTAGGACTGGTTGTAAAGCGGATAAAGCTGTATGGGTAAAAATCATTTTTATATATTTGCAGCTTGTTTATCAATAATTTCCGTGAAATAATTGAAAATATGCATCAAAAGCGAATTATTTCCACTTCTCTAAATTTCTATATCGAGATTTTTATAACTTCCTACCAACGGAACAGTGCCATCTCTGTGGAAAATGGCCTAACAATTTGATTAATTGACTTGCTGGTCACTATTAGTACAACAATCTGGAAAAGATGTAGTTTGAAAATAATTGAAAAAAAATGATTTTAATTTTTTTGAGATGGTTTGGACAAGCATCGAATCAGTAAAGTGTGGTTGGATATTGCATCCATATGTTTTCGCGAAAACATATCCTTACCCAAGTAACAATCTAAATGCTTGGAAGATTTGTTCTTATTTTATCATTGTTTTATCATAGCATCCCTTCCAGCCTGTGGTTGTATTACGGTTTTGTGTGCTTGTCATAAAATCAGGCCGTCAAGTCGTCTATAAATCTGTTTTATGACTACTAAATTAAAACTCAGACTTCATAGTTTTAACGGTAGCTGTAAGGTGGTTGGCTTCATTACAACTATCATCTTTATCAGAGGCCTAAGATTCACAGATAAGAAATATACTGCTACAACAAAATATACTCTGAAATTTTTTGTCATTATAAAAAACAAATCTATTCAGATATATGAAATGAAAACCCCTTCAGTGCTTCTGAACACGATGAAGATGAGACGATCGACAATATGAAACTCCTGGAGGAACTACAGTTATACGATCCCTACATAAGGCACAGTGCGGTGAAGGAGCTCTTAAAAATATTGAACAAGCGGCTTTCCGATACACTTCCGAGAGATCCACGAACCCTTCTTAAAGCAACGCCGACAGTTTCATGGATGGAGATGGCCAGTATTGACATCACGGCTTTAAACCTTGTATTGAAAAAGCTTTTAGTGGATCCAATAAGCATTTCTTACATCTTGATTACAAGCGAAAATAGGAGGATCGCTTGGAATGTTGACTATTTGACAGGTGGTCATGGTTTTTGTTTTGTTTTGATTCGCTGTACCGAATAAAACCAGCAAGCTAGTTATATAGCTTAAATATAGCTTAACGCTCTCAATTTGGACTACGAAATGCTAAGATACAACCATTAGGTTTATGTTATGCTATAGAATTCCAATCTAGGAGAATATGTTATATTGAGGTATTTTTAAGGAGTAGCAAGTTATAACGAAAAAAAAATGTCGCCGTATGAACAAATTTCACACAGTATGAATAATAACGCTTTAACTGATAGGCAATAAAACACTTTCATACATCTATGTATAATTAAATAATATGTGACTGGTTATTGCTCAACAGTAGTAACAGTTTTGTACTAAATAGATAATCTTTGAATGACTCTTTAATGCATGGTGCTAATGCAGACAAATTAAAAATATCCCTATCTTTTAGTATTCATATGGCGCACTAAATTTATGCTCCTATTTGGTATAATAATCACCATAAATATTGCACGGCATGCTGTGAAGCATATACAGATTGATTTAAAATTATAATAAAGTCGTCTTATTTTCAATGTACAATAATATCAGCCATTATTACCAACTGACAAGGATCATGATTTCACATCAAACATCGAAAGAATAAAACCACAATAAAATATTTCTCAATATTAACTATCATCCAAAAACCCCAACTTAAAACCTTCAAAGTTGTCAAAATGTTTTGCGTATCATGTTTTATCAACTTCTTCAGGAGCGATTTATGCGGTTGTAATATAGTTTTATGGTAGTCATTAGAAGGCTGTTAAAACTTTCTGACCTGGAGGAGGTTTTATGTTTTCATTTTTAACAATCACGTCTAGAGTGTGATAAAACTGACATAAATCCTATGCTCCTAAAGTAGTTCGCATATCAAGTTTTAATGACTGCATTAAAACTGGGCCAATTGGCCATGACATGGCTGTATTGCGGTTCTCAGGAGATTGTTAAAGCAATGTGGTAATCAGTGAAGGTTTTATAATTTGGTTATATCAACTGCTATAAAACTTAAATAAAACAAAAATTGTTGCTTGGGCCAGGCCTGCTGGGGTGACAGGTAATCACGCTTACCACTACACCACCGGCGCCGTTATCTAAGAGGTAGTAATTAATCACAAATTACTATCTAACAGCAACGGATGAAGGTGGGTCTCCTTCTTATCAACAGTTTGGAGCTCGAGTCCTCCTCATACATTGTGCAAACTGGTTTATGTTATGCTATGCTATGCTGGGCTACTTCTTGGTTGATAACCAAACCACTAGGCTTGATCCAAGGCTTGAAAAATTCCTCTCTCCGATATGGCGATATACAGCATCACTTTCTGTTCAAACTTGTGTTTGCACTCGAATCTTACATTTTGAGATGTTGTACAACTATTATTTGAATAATATCGATCATTTCCAGGAATGTGAGATTTTGAGAGAGGACTTTCATCATCCAAAACAAGACATTTTCCTGAGTAATTTCTTGTCATCCAACGGCATTGGGTTTTCACGTTCGAAATTTGTTGATCGGTGTTTTCTTTTGAAAAACTATTACTATCCTTTTCAATGTTTTACAGATGTAAAAATGCGTGCAATTTAACTTTTTCGCGGCGTCCCGCTGACTGATCGAATCTTTGTTGTTGAAGTATTGTATAGCGATCGAAGTCCTTTTTTGTTCATTAATTTGGCTGGTCTTCCACTACCCCTCTTCCGAACTGTTGTCAGGCATGCCAGAACGATAAATAGTAATAATTGGTACATTCTCTGAATTGAATGATCCACCTTAAAACTATTCCCACATTTTTTGTGTATTTTTTTATTTAGTTTTTTACTCGTCTTCGTATAAAAAACGCACAGACAGCTTAATTCATTAATCTAGAGCTAATAATTTTTTTAAAAACGTTTTTAGATACATTAGTTGTCGCAAGACTCGTTAAATCGCTGGCAACAAACATTAAGCGGATTATTTTGCCCGTAGAGTATCGCGTAAGCTTTGGCGGTTGTTTCTATGTGATTGGTTAATGTGAGCTTGCTGTCAAGAATTACACCCAGATCCTTGATTGATGATACTCGGTTAACATTTGAAGAAAACAACTTATACTAGAAAATTGCTGTTGTCCTCGATCGGTTGAATGAAATAACGTTACATTTGCAAATGTTCACTTCCATTCCGTTCAATGAGCACCATTCAAGAAGAGAGTCGATGTCCAATTGGAAAGCACAGCAATCCACTATAGAGGATTTCAGGTCATCAGCGAACATATACTTCGGTGATTTGATGAGTATGCAAAGATCGTTCACAAACAGTACGAAAAGTAGTGGCCCTAAGTGACTCCTTTGAGGCACTCCGGAAGTAATAGAGAACATTTCAGAGCAGGATCCACCAAGGCGCACAAAAACACTGTGGTCAGATAAGTATGATTCAATCCACCGAGTAAGCCACTCCGGGAATTCCATACGTTTGAGATTTTCCACAGTCAATGCGTGTGGAACTTTGCCCAATGCTTTGGAGAAGTCAACATGTACTGCATCAACCTGATGACGCTTTTCCAGACCATTCACGAGCGAATTGACGTAGCACATCAAGTTGGTTGTTGTAAACCGCTTCCTTACGAATCCGTGTTGACTCTCATGATGGGCGTTACGGTACAGCGAATCATGGATAATACTTTCCAAAACTTTAGGAAAGTAACTCAAAATGGAAATTGCACGGTAATTTTCAATATCGTTAACACTACCAGTTTTATGAATGGGAGTGATAGCTGCAGTCTTCTTGGAAAAATGCCCTCCACTAACGATATATTGAAAAGCAAACTTGCAGCTAAGGCAACTGACTCTGCACATTGTTTAATAAAGATTGGAGCTAAACAATCAGGACCTGCTCCATTCGAAGTGTCTATGGACTCAAGTTTAGTGCGAACATCATGAGGAGAGAAGTTGTAAACTGTCACGTTCAAGTCGTAATGCGGCAAACTGCCGAGCTGCAATATCACAGCTTGCAAAATCAAACGCAGTTGGTTACTTATTGATTTTCGTCTACAAAATCATAGATCAACCGTAGATCAAAAATAACCAAACCGTCGAGGTTTGGATTTCTTTTTTTTTTTTTTTTTTTTATTCGGAACATGAAACTACTGTACCCAGTAATTTGGTCTATTGTAGCATATCCCGTGTCCTTAGTTTAGTGCATGTCGTATTCCTCCATCACTTTTGAAAATAGTATTCGGTTTTGTTACAGGTGTCATTCTTGCCTTCATTGCAAGGAATCAATACTAATTTAAATGTCCCGCTGTTTATACCCTTCGCAGAGTGAGAGCACCCTCCAAAGGCGCATCCCTTTGTCAGTCAACACCACTGTGACACCGATAATGACCATGCATCTGAACCCTAGTCTTAATCACTTCAAACTAGGGAACAACGAATAGAAGATTAGGAATCACATAAATGAAGACTTACTAAATATTTTTATCATTGTTTTAAGATCATCCTCGGTGGACAAAGCCGAGTCAAGTAACAAGGACTAAGATGTGTTACTTTGATTACTGAAAAATGCTGTTCCCCTAGTTTGAAGTAGACAGGACTAGGAATCGGTGGTAGATCTTACATATCATAACATACCACGAAAAGATGTTCTACCCATGTTACGGACGAGTTTGCGAACACAGACAACCAATTTTGAATTTGAACCCACACATTTCGTTTGATATGCGGGCGCAGTGCAAAGTAACATTCATTTATGGTTCCAAAATATTTTCACGAATTAATCTTCCTGTTAATGTAATTCGAACTCACCAAATTATCATCCGATAGCCCGTTCCAATTGGTTTCGCCGGCATGAAAGAAGAACTGAATGGACGAGCTCAGCTTCAGCAATCGTTCGTTGAAATCCGTCAGCGGTCGTCCCAAATCCTCCTGTCCAACCAAGTCGAACCCGGCCACAAAGGTAGGAAACTTTTTGTGCAAATTTTCCGCCTCCCGCAAATATCCATCGAAGGTGGCATCATCGGCCATCCGAATCGGAGCGTAGATGAATTTGACTCCCACGAAATCCGGATGTTCCTTCTTGAACTTTTCCGACAGATCGTAGTAGATCTGTACCACTTCCTCGGGTGAGTAGACACGATTGTCCAAGTCGTACACTGGAGGTAAAACTCCGCGGAACTCGAGATAAGTTACGTTGTCTGCGTATAGCTCCTTCAGGGTGTTGGTGAAATATTCCTCCCAAACAGGTTTGAAGGTAATGATCGGTTCCAGGGATATGAACATACTGAAGAACCTACCCCAAGCATGGCTTATGCAAGGGTATGCCACTTCTGGATTATCGACGAAGAGCGTTAGCAAACTTCTCAGATTTTCATCGAAGCCTTCATTGCCGAGTTCCTTTCGAACATCGGTTACCGATCGCCATTCAACACCATCCAAAGGTTCTGGCTTGGTTTTTGAAAACTTGAAATGCGGAGGGCTGGGTCTATCGAAATCTCCATTCTGCCAGAGGAACTTCTGATAAGTAGCTTTGATGACGGGTTCCATGCTTCCGATGGCGGTATCGTGAGCATGCAAGATCCCTCCCTTAGGCATCTTTTGAATTAGCTGGAACAGTGGCGAATTCTTGATCTGATCCAACACTTTGAAGAAGTGGCGGGACGGAGCAAAATCGATGGGTGATTTGAATCCTACGTCCAATTCGGCTTTCTTCAGCTTCATAACATGCTCGTTCACCTTTTGTTCGTCTTCGGTCAGCACCACATCTGCACCAAGGGCACGACTTTCCTCCTGGCTAACGAACTCGGTGCGTTGAGCCAGGAACTCCTCATACGACATGCGCGGCATTTTAACTCTCTAATTAATATAGCACACACCTGTATTCCAAGCAAGCACTTTACTACCAACCAAATCGCAGTCAGCACCAAAACTGATTGCCAAGCAATACTTGAAGTATGAAATTAAACGAACCACTTGACTAGACCTTGACTGCCTAGTGTTCTGGTTGTGACTGAGCCGAACCGTTCGCGGAGAGTCTCTTCTCATTCAGCGGAACCAATCAAGAAGAAATAAAGAAGCATGTCGCGAATCACACAGATATTGCTCCAATCCAAACCATTCCAAGCGGTGTGAGTCGTTTGCCCGCCTCTCTCTCATATGGGTGAATAAAGATATTTTTATAGTCGCTGTAGAGATATGATAAGAAACGGGTGGATTGCACACTCGTGGTTTCTCGCGCGTAAGTCGTTCGCAACCGATCAAAATGGAGACTGTTCGAGGTTGCGTGGGGGTTTGTTTTGTTTTGTTTTCTGATCCAAGAAGCTGTTTATTGTAAACAGGTAATTGTAGCTTGCCGCTCTCTTAAGGAATCGAGAAGCTCTCGCAGCACTGGATCCGCGCAAATTGCGAGAGAAAAGTGTGGAGAATACGATTATGAGTACAACATTACATTACATATTATGATTACAGTGTGACCTACTGGTAGGCGTTTGCTGGGCGACTCAATCAGCAGTTGCTTTTGTCATTCTAAATGAGTGTGTAGTGACTTAAAGGGGAAGTACACTTTTATTTTTCAAAAAAAAAAATGCATATTTTTTTTGGCTTAAAATGTTCCTTGGGATGTATACTTTAATTTAGAAAAGACTCCAAGTCCGCCCGAATTTTCCTTACCGCTTTACGAAGCGATTTTCTAAAACATGTACCGGCGCGCTGAGAGAGCATTTTTATCTTTAAACGCGTTTATCTCGAAACGGGGTTTTTCAAACTGGCGTGGGAAATAACTCTAACCAGTTATCATCAAATTTGGGTATCGCCTAGGTTTTCTTGTTCAAAATTAAATTCTGCTTAGAAATACGTATCCACATTTTCGATTTTGTCAAAAATGGATTTTTAATCCACGATTTTGTAAGCATAAAAATGCACCCTAAAAAGGGTGAAAATGGGTTTTTTTTTCCTAAGGCCACAACTTTTGAAAAAACTTATTTAAAAAAAAATCGGAATACGTATTTCTAACCTTAATTTCATTACAAATCAGGATTTTTGTTCGATTTATGTTCCAGGATCACATGGAAAGGAGTATTTTCCCACGCCGTTTTCCGACTTCCGCGCGAGGACGCCCGCACGACATGGTGCACTGGCCACGGGGAGACGTCAATCGAGTTATGGGTTATAACATATTTGCCCTCCTCGAGTGTTTTATTGCTTAAAAAAAATTAACGATAATGCCTTACGTTCTGGATGCTGTTAGTGGAGGCCATGAATGAAGTAACTAATCACTGCGTCTTTATGCTAGAATGGCCTGGAGGATGCGCAGATTAGTTTTATCTTCTGTCAAATGGTTATTAGACTAATACAAAATTTGATATTTTCGCTCCACAGAACTTAAATGATTCCAAATCAGGACCTGTTAAGCCTCCTAAAATGTGTTTTTTTTTGTCAAGCAAAGTAGACTACATACAATGGTTACAATGTTTTACTTACATACTATTATTTCTATTATGGTTTAGTTGGGTTTTAATTTCTTCTTTTGACATAGTGATGCTAATGACCAGGGATGGAATATCATTTACATTCATTTCGAGCAAAAATGTGCATTTTAAAAACACTTGCAATTTTTGGTAAATTTAAACAAGGTGGTTCTACCGTTTGTACTCCATTTTCACCCTATAGCTTCGTCCACTTGAGGGATAGACAATTGTCATCTTCAACAAAGTTTCTTAAAATGACTTCATATACAATGTTTTCATAGAAGTTCATCAATTTTTACAAGAAATATAAAAGCTATTATTATTATTATCTGAGTGTGCACCCTCCGTAATAAAAAAATATCCACTCAAGTAAAGTACTCCAAAAATGAAGAAATATTCTAGAACACCTCAAAATGCTACACTCAATAGTTTTGTCGCAAAAGGCCATGTCCCATGTTTTTTTGATTTTTTTCCACTGTGTGACGGGTGGAATACTTAAAAATATACTCACTAGATGGCACTTGTGACCAAACCTATTGATTTATCTCATATCGAATTGTAACGCTCTCCGTGTTACGCTAAGCTGCCGGCTTAAGCGTCACCTTTCAAAGAAGGACCGTCAACTCGTTCTTAATTACCCGGCAAGAAACTTCCCTTCTCAGGGCAGGTCACTCAGATGTTGACACAAACGAACTTACTTATTTTGACCCAAACGTCTAAAGCCAACCAATCAGATTAAGATACTCAAATTTAAATACACAAATTCAAACCGTGAAAATGAAATGATTCTTTAAAGTCAACCAAGGGGAAATATGCAATAGTTATTTAAACCCAAACCAATCTAACAAATATAAACATATACAAATAACGTGACGCAAAAGATGTGTGGAGTTAGTAATCTAAACTAGAAGTAATTTTTATTTTATTCAGCTTAATTGGACAAAACCCGAATATACTAAACCTAAATTTATCGAGCTAGCAATTTGTTAATTAAAATTCAAGGGAAATCGAAATTTATTGCATTAGAACCTAACAGTTTCCTACTGTGGCGTCACGTTTCTAGTTTATGTGTGTTAGCATATCCATTCAAGATCAAATAAAACTAATGTGAGCAGTTTTCGGGCAGATCTGACATGGTTCCTTCAACGTCCGGTCCCTCGTCGGATGTCCCGCGACGTTCTAGTACGCGAACTCAAACAGGATCAGTTGGTTACCAAAAGCTTACGCACCAAGATGTATCGCGCGTGGGCAAGTAAGGGGTATAGCAGGCGTCCCCAAGCGTAGTGGATCGATGAGCTGTAGTAGCGGTACGCAGTTTACACCGCACGACTTGGCGAGACGAGTCGTTCCAACAAAGGCTACCAATTGCGCAGTAGCAGTGGTAGTGCGTCATAGCCGAACGGTTGTGCTACGAGAAAATGTGCAGTAGCAGTAACGGGTGGGCGTAATGGCCGTTTGACTAACAGCCAGCATAAGACGGTGGATGTCCTAGCTGCTTGAAACAGCCCGCTCCAGTTTCGACGATATTTGCCAAATCTAGCACTAGCCAATACAAGCCGATACGAGCCGCCCGCGTTGACTGGGCAAGGAGGGCCTGTTAACGCGGAAATTTCACATAATTTTCTCACCAATTTACTACTAACTAATTAGGCTTACCTGAATTTCAAATTTCACCAACTTCACAATATATATCCAATATCAATTTCTATTTTGATCAAAATATGATCCTGCACTCGACAAATTCATAAAGTGTGGAAATTATTTAAATGGATTTAAATCATCAAAATTCACAAACCGCCCGAACTTACTTCGAGTTTAGATGTTGCGCTGTAAAGTTCAATCTATTGTCTTAAACTTAAATCAGCAATTATCAACTTATGATAATTTCAAAGCACTCCACTCAAATGATTCGATAGACGCGGAGTAGCTTGAGTCGTGCCTAAAAACTACTGCGTAATTTCTTCTTATTGGCAGATTCGAGAGAATAAACGAAGTTGTACAATGTGTTAAGCACAATAGCCAAGTCTATTGAATTCTCTACGACCCAATGGTTTTAAATTTTAAAAATGGTATCTTAACTGCCGTGTCAAAAACTAGGTGGCGTCTACAAAAGGTGGGTGTCTAAGATAGCATACAGACTAACAGCATGCTCTGAAAATTCATGGACGTCCAAAGCTTTCATGAAGCTTATTTTTACTTGCATAGGTAGTACGAACGAACGGGTAAACATTAATAAAAAAAATAATAGGGTTCAAAACAACGTTGCAGAATGATCCTGGCCATTAGTATCGACTTAGTCTACATCAAAGTTGTTCAATTAACACATTCTACGTGACGTTACAATGCACACTGGGATAAACAACGTACTATCAAATATTATAAATTAACAATATGGTTCACTCTTCTATTATCCCCAAGACACGATTTTTCCCGACACTAGCGGCTCTAGTGACGCGAAAGGTGACTACTACACTGTAAATTGAGCGTAACAAGGCTATCAAAAACAACTCACTGTTGATTAAAATTTAACTACACGGTAAGAAAAAAATAGTCAAAATTAAGTTTATATCTCAAGCGCCGCCGGGATTTTCAGAGGTGCAAAATCTCTGATTACGAAGGATGGGTGTGGAAGCTGCTTCTCGGGCGTCGGTAGCATTGGTATTCAGTACGGAAAACAAAAACACGAAAAAAAGTTAATTTCACCCAAGGAAGCCAAAAGTAAGTAAAGTCCCATGTACTCAATTAATCATGTTTAGTTGTTTTGACATCATCCACATCCAGAGGGCCAGTCACTTTCGAATATATGGGAATGGTGGGAAACCATTTGGAAATGCATGAACATTTTCAGTTTTTATTCATTATGGTCTTTCGAGTCGTCTTTATGAGCAGTTTGGTAGTTGTCACAAATGACATCAAGATGACTAGCCGGAGTCAATTTTGTTCTGAATAGTTTTCAATCTGACAAGTAGGCTTACTCAGATTGGGCTTTTCCGCTTTTCGTGCTGCCGTTCCGCTTCCGCTGTAATTGCGTAATAAATAATAAAGCGTAATGAAACGATGCTAAATGGAAAGCAGAACAAAACAAAACCGCAAATAATGCTACCAGAAACTCAAAATTCTAATGGTCATAGGGTTACAAGAAGTTCAAAATAAAAATAAGCCCCGTTAATATGCACGAAGTGTCATTCAGATAAGCGGGGTCCACAGTTTTGTACACGGAGAAACAATACAACTCAAAATCGAGATAGAAAGTACCTAAAATTATGTACTCCGTTAACAGTACTGTGTTGGATACAATTCTGTTCTCATTGATATTTAGGTACTTTTAACATAATCTTGAGGTGTAGCCAAAACAATTACACTTATGTTAATTGTACTCAAACAGTAGTCTTGTGAGGGTTGCTACTTTTGAGGGCTTTCTATCTTTATTTTAAGTTGTTTTGATTTCCGTGCTTTAAAGTATCCAGAATCAAGTGTTGAAATGACATTTCATTTTGGATGAAAAATCCCAACGTGTGGCCATGTTCTTTTCGGGCAAGTAGCCTGCAGCAGAATTTGCACTTCCGAAATCAAATTCAACAA